AGCCCACTCCTCTGTCTACCAGCCACTCGCTCTCAGCTCCACCTTCGGCCGAGTCCGTAGAGCCGAGTGGCCCGTACCCCAGAGCTTGTGGGTTGCCTCATGTACCTGATGACTTGCACACGACCTGACCTCGCGTTCCCTCTTAGCAATCTGGCTCGCTACGTGGCTCCCGGTAGGCACCGAAAGGTGCACTGGGATGCTGCGAAGAGGGTACTGCGTTACCTGTGCAGTACGTCGGGCATGGGGCTCGTGCTTGGAGGACGGGGTCCAGTTGTTCTCACCGGTCACGCAGACACCTCCTGGGTTGACGACTCAGCTACGCAGCGATCCTCACAGGGTTACACCTTCAGTCTTGGTTCTGGCTCTGTGTCGTGGCGGTCTACCCGCTCGTCTTCGGTTCTCAGCTCGAGTTGTGAGGCTGAGATCTACGCTGGGGCTATGGCTGCTCAGGAGCTCCGCTGGCTGACCTACTTGCTGACCGACTTGGGAGAGCAGCCTCGTTCGCCTCCAGTTCTGTACGTAGACAACAAGGCCATGATTGCCTTGTGTCAGGAGCACAGACTGGAGCACAGAACGAAGCACATCGCTCTGCGATACTTCCTTGCTCGAGAGTTGCAGCAGCGTGGCCAGCTTCGTCTCACGTATGTGGCCACTCGGGCCAACACTGCTGATGTCTTCACCAAGGCACTTCTGCCTGGTGATCATCAGCGCTTTGCTACTCTGTTAGGCCTTGTGCCCACTTTGCCTCACTTACTTACAGCTTGACTCTGCTTGTACTGTGATCTATATATATCTATGCATGCTTGCACTTGTTAGGGTATGATCATTGTATTGTTTGTTCCCTTTTTATAACTCTGCATGTGAACTGGCCTTGTGGCCCTTTGCTTGTGCTCGGACTGTGTGGTGACCTTGTGATCCACCCTGAGCTTGCTTTGCTTTTCTTGACTGGTCTTGTGACCACTTGTTCTCCCCCACTTTGCCTATGGGGGTGTGTCAGAACATATAGCTTTTACATTTGTGTAGGCTATAGTGGGGTAGGCCATAAGGGGTACAACCCAATTAGGGTTAGTACTTGTACCCAATTGTTTCATAGTTCACTCATTTTCTCGTTCGTTACTATGACAGAACGGGCAACGACCGGGCCCCCAGAGGGGTCAGCCAGTCGGACCGGGACAGGTGCAGGGAGAGGAGTGAGAGTGGTGCTGTCTTGAAAGAAATAGCGCGAGGCGTCGGAGTCCAACGTGAAGGTGTGCAAGGCCTGAGCAGGCGCAGAACCAGAGAGAGTACCACACTCACTAGCACCTAGAGCAGCAGCAGCTATACCTGGGTCAAGCGGCACACACCGGTAACAGTCACCCTCAGCACTAGCAGACAAAGCATACATAGCAGAAAGAATAGCATCAAAGTCTAGGTCAAAGATTGGAATCCTAGACCTAAGCAGATCTGCCCAGCGAAGGAGCTCAACGTCGTCACCAAACTCAGCACGCCAAGCGTCGTGAAGGCGGGAGAAGCAGCGGTGCTGAGTGTGAAGTTTCCCGCATGTCTGACCAGCACGAACACCCGTGCGAATGACATACGGGCAGCTATCACTAACCCCAGACGTCCCACGCTGAAACAACCACTCACGGAGCTGCTGGGGCGACTGGGTCTCGCTCCGACGCTGCTGCTGCTGTCGCTGGCCACCACCAGGGCCTCCATGTCGAGGTCCAGTCCTACCACCTCCAGTCCCACCGCCTCCGCTGCCGCCACTCCCACCGCTGCCTCCGCCGCCGCCACCAGAGCCCCCACTCCCGCCACCAGTCCCACCGCCGCCACCACCTCCACTGCCTCCGCTACCTCCACTGCTGCCCCCACCACCACTCCCGCTGCCACCTCCACCACCACCGCTGCCACCTCCACCACCCCTGCCACCCTTGCCCTTGCTGCTTCGGCACTTCGCACTAGCAGAAGCAGCCCCGACGTCCTTAGCATCATAGACGTCTGCAGCAGCAGCAGAGGCGTAGGAGGGGGCAAGGGGGGAGGGGGAGCACCCCTCAAAGAAGGGCGGGCGCGGAGTGCCACGAGCACCACCTACAGCAACTGCACTAGTCTCAGCTGCTAGGAGATGCTGCTCGAGGAGGTCACCAGTGAGGGAGGTGGGGTCAAGGGAGAGAAAGTGGTCCCTGACAGAGCGAAGAGAGCCAGGGAGGCGAGTGACTATGAAGTAGAGGGTGATGAACATCGGGGGATGGTTCCTGTCAAGGAACTCAGCAGGGACGGTAGCGCGGTAGCGAGCGTCGCTAGTGCGCAGGTGGGAAACCAGGTCCTCTACTGTGGCAAAGGCTGACAGCTCGGGGAACAGGTAGGGCAGAAGCAGGCGGCCTAGAGCAGCAGTGGCAGGCGAGGAGTAGCCGGCGACTATAGCAGCGTACAGTGCCTGGGCTGTCCTGTGCTGTCCAAAGTGGGCGCATTCGGCTAACGGCAGGTGGTTGCGAATGGCCAAGCGGGCAGCAGCGTCGCGAGTAAGCCACTGTGAGCGAGTCGCATTGTCAGCTGTGGCGGGAGGGGCAGGAGTGGTGCCTGACGCAAGGTCAAACAGCGAATCACTGTCCTTAGAATCGCTCAGTAGATACAGCTGCTGATCGTCGAGCCACGTGTCAAACTGAATCGGTCTGTCTCGTGATCGAACGCGAGAACCCTAAGCGAAGCCATAGTGGCGCAGCACGCAGGAGCAGTAGTAGCAGCAGTAATAGCAGCAGTAGCAGCAGTAGCTGTAGCAGTAGCAGCAGGAGCAGTACCAGCTGTAGCAGTAGTAGTGGCTAAGGGGTCGAGGGGCCTGTGGCCTAGAGGCCGAGGTGCGAGGGGCCTAGGGGCCGAGGTCAAATGGGCCGCGGGGCCAGGGGAGACGGGGCCGAGGGGCCTGGGGCCTAGGGCCGTTGGGGTCGCGGGGCCAGGGGCAACGGGGCCGAGGGGCCGGGGGCCTAGGTCGACGGGGCCGCGGGGCCAGGATAGTAGGGGCCAAGGGGGGGGGGGGGGGGCTAGGGGCGAATGGGCCACGGGGCCATGGGAAACGGTGCCGAGGGGCCTGGGGCCTAGGGGCGCCGGGCCACGGGGCCAGGGGCGACGGGGCCGAGGGGCCGGGGGCCTAGGTCGACGGGGCCGCGGGGCCAGAATAGTAGGGGCCAAGGGGCCGGGGGCCTAGGGACGAATGGGCCGCGGGGCCAGGGGAAACGAGGCCGAGGGGCCTGAGGCCAGGGGAAACGAGGCTGCTGAGCCAGGGACTAAGGGGCCGAGGGTCGAGGGCCGAGGGGCCGCGGAGCGAGGGCCAGGGGCCTAGGTCGACGGGGCCGCGAGGGGCGACTGGCGACGAGGGTCGCGACGGGCCTAGGGCGACGGGGGTCGCGACGAGCCTAAGGCGACGTGGGTCGCGACGGGCCTAGGGCGACCAATGGGTCGCGACGGGCCTAGGGCGACCGAGGGGCCGGGCTAGGGGCGACGCCAAGGGGCGACGGGCCGGGCTAGGGATGGCGACGGGCCGGGGCCTAGGGGCGACGGGCGCGAGGCTAGGCTAGCAGGGCAGCAGGTGGTGGGCCCAAAAAACGGTCATAGGAAGGGACCTGCTCTGAAACCATGTCAAAGTTACGAACGAGAATGGATGAACTAGCAAAGAGTTGGGTACAAGTACTAACCCCAATTGGGTTGTACCCCTTATGGGCTACCCCACTACAGCCTACACAATGTAAGCTATATATAAGTTTGACAGGTAACACCTCTCGAAGAAGAAAATATTTGAGCAATAGCTGAAGTCTTGTCGAAGGCGCGACAACTAAGCTCTGTCGAAGACAGGAAAGTCGCAGAAGACAAGTGCAAACGCCCTGTCAAATATAGAAGTTCCTGTCGAAATATATATAAAAAAACTTTCTCAATGGAAAGCGGTGAGGTGAACTACGCTTCCCGTCGAAAAGTCCCGAACTTGCATTAGTACGGCTGACATATACCGTATATGCGCATAAGAATCCGACATTGAACCCGCGGGTTTCCGCGGGTTTTTTCGTTTGGCTAGGAGGGATTTTCGGGGTGACCTGCGGGATTCTGTAGGTTTTTCGATTTGCCCCAATTTCCTTCTGTGCCAGGAACCGTGGGGCGGCATGTGATGACGTCACTCGTCCCTATGTAAGTGGTGCAGAACACAATTACGACGTGCTAGAAATGGGCAGAAACGGGATTCTGAGCATCGAATTCGAACATTTTGGCTGTGCGATGCGCTGAACGACGTCTGCGATCCTACGACACGCACAATGAGTATGCTGAGTTGGCGGGAATAACATCGCAGGCGAATTTCCCCCTTTGTGCAAGTACTTTTGTTTCTCTTTGTAGCAAGCACCCCTTTGGAGGCATCGCTTGTGCGACTTTGAGGTGTATCACTGTTGGAAGTTTGAAATTTCGAACACAATCTGACTCATTTGTGCCAGATCGCAATTTTTGCTTTTAGCAGTTCATATTTATCGGAATCTCAGAAATTGAATAAATCGTTTATTTGCTCCAGCCGAGAAAAGGGACGCGCCCTTACAGCGCAGCAGAGCGGATCCTAGATAGAACATACCTCCGTGCAAAAAGCTACTTTCCCGACTTAGCTTTCAAACTTTCAAGTTTTTCGTAGAACGAGTCTCCGCCGCACCCATTTGAACCCCGTGTTTCCCCGCCTGGATGATCTCGTCGCGGCAGGAGCTGCTGATGGCTCTTCGCGGCCAGCCACGAGAGCTCGCAGCGAATTCGAACGCTTCGCAGCGCGATGCTGCCTCTTGGACCCAGCCAGCGCATTCGCCGTTCGTTTCGGAAGACTCGTTTGATCCAACGGACGAGCTGTGAGTCGCTCACCATCATCGTGTCCCTGCGACGAATCCGGGGACGCTCGCCTGCGCCATCTTTATTACGCCCGTTTCGCCAATCTCACTCCGGGTCAATTCTCCTCTTCTAGTTGGATTTCAGTGTCATGAGTCGAGTTTTGGAGCGCTTCAGAAATGGAATCCAGAGTCATGAGCGGCCGCACGTGAAGCATGTGGCCATTACAGCGTTATTGGATTCACTGTTCAGATATCCAAAAAGAATCTGATCCACTTCTGAGAGATTGAATAAAGGATTCAAAGTTCTCAAGGTTTTCGGATTCACTTTTGAGAATTAGCATTGGATTCATCTCCACGTCACGCCCGTGGAATCCTTGCATGCAACCTATACGTCCTCCAGGCATCCACGTCATCCATACGTCCTCACCCCAAACGTCCTCACCCCAAACGTCCTCATCCCACACGTCCTCATCCCATTCGTCCACGTCACAGTCCATGGGTGGAGAAGCTTCTCCAGCTGGCAGCGTGCGTCACGGAGATCCACCGCTTCTCCCGCCGCCTCCTGGACGCCCGCAGCGCCGCCATCAGCGCCGCCGCTAGAGCCTCTCTCGCAGCCTCTCTCGCAGCCTCTCTCCCAGCGTCAGCACATTACAGCCTGGCTGGAGCGACGGGCGGAACCACCACCTCAGTGTCAGAGAGTGGCCGGGATGCATCGCATAGGGTGCTGGCAGGGGCGGCGGGGGGTGCGAGCGGTTTGCAGTGTGCGTTGGCGACGTGTGTGGAGGAGGAGGCACTGCTGCCGTACACACACGAGGTGGATCGCCTCTTCTCCTCGCCGCTCCCTGTGCGAACCATCTGGGCCAAGCTCTTTGTGGTAAGATCAACGGAACTGCTCCCACTGCTCGCCTGACAGACACTCTTGACCATTCTCGTAACCGCCTCTTCTCCTCCCACCATCCCGTGCGTACCGCCTGGGCCAAGCACTCCATGTTAAACTGAGTCTTCCCTGTTGAAGTCACTCCTGAAAGGATTAAGAACCCTGAAATTTCTCGAAAGCACCACTTTTCCACTTTGCCTCTCCACTCTGCCCCTCCACTGGTTCGTCGTTCCTAAACTTGTTCTTGGCTGATGTTTGTTTCTCCGTCTCCCTTCACTTCACCTTTCTGCAGTATGAGCAGCTGCTGACAGGCCTCGTTAGAGTCACATGCGCCATAGAGCAAGGCAACCTCACAGGCGCGCATCTGCTTCGCTTTCTCGAGCAGGAGAGCAGCTTCGGGCCCTGCCTGCTATCGATTGCTCTTGACACGTAAGCAATTAGTCAATTTCTCTGTAGAACGCTCGAGTTGCCATTTTGTCTCTGTAAACTCCACCCAGTCGTGTTCTCTCTATATACTCACCAAGTCACTTTCATGTCACAACCACATGTGCCACATGAGACCGCTCGTTTTCGGCGTCAGTCAGCCACTATTGGCGTCAGTCAGCCACTATTGGCGTCAGTCAGCCACTAATGGCGTCAGTCAGCCACTATTGGCGTCAGTCAGCCACTATTGGCGTCAGTCAGCCACTATTGGCGTCAGTCAGCCACTAATGGCGTCAGTCAGCCACTATTGGCGTCAGTCAGCCACTATTGGCGTCAGTCAGCCACTATTGGCGTTTCTGCCCCCTGCCGCCCACTTCCCCACCCCTTGCGTGCGTCTATCCCCACAGGTGCATCCGCCACTGTCAGCGGTACTCACCAAGTTCGTAGAGAACGAGGGGAGGTGAAGACCTGATAGTGAGCCGGACGGAACCGCCGGACACGAGAGGACAGTGGAGGAACGGGCCACGACTGGTCCCCCGGAGGGGTCAGCTAGCCTGACCGGGACAGGTGCAGGAAGAGGAGTGAGGGTGGTGCTGTCACGAAAGAAACAGCGCGAGGCGCCTGAGTCCAGCATGAAGGTGTGCAAGGCCTCACCAGGCACAGTACCAGGGAGAGTACCAGACTCACTAGCACCTAGAGCAGCAGCGGCTATACCTGGGTCAGGCGGCACACACCGGTAAGAGTCACCCTCAGCACTAACAGACAAAGCATACATAGCAGAGAGAATAGCATCAAAGTCTAGGTCAAAGATCGCAATCCTAGACTTAAGCAGATCTGCCCAGCGAGGGAGCTCGACGTCGTGTCGCACTGCTCGTGCTCGCCAACACATCGATCTCCTCCACGTTCCATAGCTCCCTCACCACCGCCTGCACGGCATGGGGTCATCGCAAGAGCAAGAGAGGAGTGTCGGGATATGAGATATTGTGTTACATGAATCCTTGTGAGTCCCTTCCCATCTACTCCACGTTCTATAGCTCCCTCACCACTGTCTGCATGGCATGGGGTGTTTGACAGCAACAGCAAGAGGGGTGTGTGGGAAAGGGGATAGTAGAGGGTGATAACCTGAAGAAGGGCTCGTTACATCCATCTCATGTATCGTGGGAGGAAGGACCACGATGTGGCCAGCACGTGGCAAGGTGATGTGCACGAGCTAATGAATGAGGACGAGGAAGAGGAGTAGTACGAGGAAGAGGAGTAGTACGAGGAAGAGGAAGAGGAGTAGTACGAGGACGGAAAGGAACGACTCAGGAGCAAATGAATGGAAATCAGTGGGGTGGGGAGAAGCAGATGAAAGGAGTGACAGATAGGGTACAAGGTGTGCGATGGGAGGCAATGAAGAAGAGGCAGAGCGCAGGAGTGGAGTAGGGGAGAGTGAGAAGTGAAAAAGGTAAGGAGGAGGGCGAATGACGGCTCCCCGTTTGCGGCAGAGCTTCTGGTTGAGCTCGCTGACTATGGAGTGGAAGATTGGCATCGCTGACTCGGCATTGTGTGCTAGTGTCCGGTGCGTTTGAGACATGGACGGTTCATTGAATGGCACGTGAGCTGTGGGAAATGAGGAATGAGGAATGAGTATAAGAGTGTTTTGTATGCAATATGGATGAGATGACAACAGTTGAAGGTTAGAAAAACACGACATTGAAAGGCAGCAAGTTGCAGCATGAAAAGAGATGAACATAATGCCAAAGCTGCTGCTTCCCTCTCAGCGTAACAGAGTAACATCCGAAGCGGGATACGTTGATGCAGCACACATGCCCCGTCAGTCCACGTGAGCGGTGAAAGTTTTGGGAAGTCTCAAAAGAGGGATACGTTGGTGCAGCACACGTACATACCCCGTTAGGCCACGTGGGCGGTGCAAGAATCCTGGCCACGTGTGCAGCATGACCCGGTTGTACTGGGGGAGGGGGGAACGAGCAGGTGGGTGAAAAAAACAGGGTAAAAATGGGATTACAGGAAGTGCAAAGGGAAAAGGAGTTAGGAGGAGGGATGTGGGGTGCTGCCAGACAGCACAAAGCAAGGCACCAGCAATGGGGTCGGCAAACAAAGTAGATTCAACTCTCTCAGCCATCTCTCAGCTTGCCTCTTCGTTCTGAGTCAACTCAAAACACACACGCAAATCAGCAACTGCTGCTTGGGAGCGCGCGGCAGAGCCTCCTTGAGCTCGTCCCTCAGCTCTGTTGGATCCGTGCCCTCCACCACCTGGTGCAGTGCGGTGGGTGGGTGGGATGCGGTGCAGTGCGGTGCGGATTGGTGAGGTGCGGTGTGATGCGGGAAAGAGCAATTGCTTCCATATGTGCATCACTCATGCCTTGCACCACTCAGCATGGTGGACACAGACCGCAGGTGCCTTCGACACTCATGCACACACAGACACCCACGTGTGTGCAAGAACATACGAACGGGAGCCAGAGTGGGGATTCACCTGCTAACAGAGCACGCGAGCAGCACCTCAGTGGCTGCGAGGATGACCGACGCCACCCAGCGAGAAGGGCAGCGGGTAGCGCACAACCACACATACGAAATCAGATTGTTTTGAGAGACCAGAAAAAACCAGAAAATATATAACCACTTCAAATCAGATTGTATTTGAGACGTCGCGAAAGCACGCGAGCAGCGCCCCAGTGGCAGGCAGTGAGGGTGACCGGCGCCATCCAGCGAGCGTCGCAGCGGGTAGGGCACACACAACCACACATGCACCTTCGACACACGGCTTTGACGCTCGTACACACACATGAATGCAAGCAATCCGACAAAAGTAGTGCTTCACCTGCCAGCATGCCAGTAGCGCGCCAGCGGCGGTGAGAATGACCCGGTCCAGAGAGACTCGCATCGGGCACAGGCGCATGCTCACGCCCTTCACTGCCCGCACCTCGTCCGCTAGCTGGCAGGGCAGGGGGGAGAGGGCAGGATGGTTGGACGGAAGGGAGGGGAGAGAAGGCGGAGCAAGGGCAGGCGATGGGAGAAGTAAAAGTCGCGAGGTCGACAGTTGATGAGGAGGGCACAGTCGCTTGACTGCTCAGATTTTCACTGCCCACACCTCGTCCACTAGCTGGTAGGGCGGAGGGAGTGCAGAAGGGCAGGGTTGGAGGGGAGGGTGCGTGCACCGGAAGCAGGTGTGGTGGGGGGGAGGGAGAAAGGATGAGGAGGAGTCGGAAGGGGGGTCCAAAGAGAGGTGCAATGCAAAAGGTGAAATAGGTGGTGCAGACCTCTCTGTAGCATCCCCCCTGGGGTGGATGGAGCATGAAGATGCGTAATGGGGTACGAAACCAGACTGAATAACATGTGGAACACACAAAAGACTAGGATGAAATGGGCAATGTGCAGAGTGCTGCAGCTGCAACAAAACTTCTGCCCAAACCTGTTTGGTCGTACCTGCTTGGCCGGCCATACCTGCTTGGCCGGCCATACCTGCTTGGCCAGACCTGCTAGGCCAAACCTGCTTGGCCATACCTGCTTGGCCATACCTGCTTGGACATACCTGTTTGGCGGTGGCAGGTACGGGCGAGAGATGGTGTGAGGCGTGGAATATTCTCATGTGGTACAGGCCAGGGTCCTGTAACCACACGCCTGGGGGTGGGTGCGGTTAGGTGGGGATGGGGACAGGGGAGGCTGTGGAAGGAATAAGCAGCAGATGAGGCGTGGACGATGCTCAGGAGGGTCCTGTAGCCACACGCCTCGTGGGAGGGCGGGACGGTATGGGGATAGGTGTGCGGATGGGCGGAGGTGTGTGGGGGAGACAGTGAAGGGAAAAAGACCAATTAAATGGTGCAAGCGAGGCGTGGAGATGTATCATGAGGAAATAGAACCTTTAGAGGCCTGGTTTCGAAATAGCCACTTGCACGAAGGGAGGGGCGGGGATAAAGGGAGGGGCGGGCGAGGCATCCAGAGAAGGCAAAGTGAGTGAGGCGTGGAAGAAGCTAAGCCGCACACGAGGTGGAGAGCGGTGCCCTACTTTAGAGGCGCCTCAAAGGAGAGCGGTGCCCTGCAGGCTGCAGCCCGCCACTGTCCCAAGATTCTTTGCCCCACTAACCCCACTGCTTTCCTCACACCTCTCATTCCCCTCCTTTCATCATCGCGCCTCACCCACCTCCTTGGAAGTGGTGAAAAACGATGCCCTTCACTGTCTCCTTGACATCTCCTTGCCTCTCCGCACCTCCCACTACCCACCCTCACCTCCTCTCATCACATTCCCCCCTTCACATCGCCACACATCACCTCCTCCCATTTCCCCCCTCACATCACCACACCTCACCTCCTCGGAAGTGGTGCAGAATGTTGTCCTTCACCCTCTCTCTGACTCTCTAACCTACTAATCCGCACCTCCCCCCACCCCCCCGATTTATCGCCACGCCCCTGCTGCCGTGCTGCTGCGGTTGCAAGCAGCTGCCTCGACTGCTGCACAGCTGCTGCTTCTTCCTACGCTTCTGCGCCTTCCTGCTGTTCCTTCTTACGCTTCTGCGCCTCGTTTTGCTGCTGGGGCTAATGTTGAGGCCGCTGCTGCGAGTGCTGCCGCCCCTGATCGTGGTTCAAGGAGGGAGTGCCATCAGCGCCACCACCACATATGCTATCCCTGCCCTCTGCTATGACAGCAACCGACGCGGTGCTTTTCAGGACAGCAGAAACGCTGTATCTGGTCTTAAGGTTCGTCTCGCTGTCCAGATTCATCGTTTCCACAAACGCGCGACCCGACCGATCGCTAGACGCCAAATGAACGATGCCGCACAGGACCGCCGTGTCCCACCGTACATGCACCAGCTCCCCCACGCGAATGCTCTTCCACGTGGCAGAGCACCACTGGCCCCCGCAGTGGCCCATTCTCGCGCGCCCATTCTCGCGCGCGTCGGTGCGGTGGCGTCGCCAGCACTCGAAAGGGGTCTTTAATCGTCATTACCGTCAGCACGGAGAGCAGCGGAATGACAGAGATGTAACGGCCGAAGGTCGTGAGCTGAGGGATCTGCATCCCAAAATGTGTGGGGTCGGGGTGGCATGTTTTTTAGGGTTTGCGAGAGAGTAACTCTCCAGAACTTACCCGCAGGTGGCATTTCGGGGTTCGCGGCTCGGGACTCAGTGGGCTGCATCATCTACGAAGTTTCGACCGGATCCTCGCAAGCGATTTTATTGGTCGAGCCCTTTCCACCAGATCCGCGAAACTTCCTTCAAACCCTTTGATCGATTTCTATTGGACATTCGATTCGAACCTACTGGTCGGTAAGTTTAGGTTTTCGAAATACTCCTTCCAAGAAGCAGCGGGTTTGCGAAGGTTTGGCACAAATCCAGATACGTGACCCGCACAAGAGCATTTCCGTTCCAGTGTACAGTGATGATTGTTATTGAAATTTGTTGTTATGTGCATCAAATTTGTACACAGCTTATATTGAAACCAAAGTATTCAATTGGGTTGATTTGCATTCGTAATTAAAGCAGATAAACACTCTGCATAGTGGATTTTAATTCACTACATAATTATTTCTGTTACTGATATCTAGTTGCATTGTTAGGGAATGGTGAAAACAAGGTGGAAACAACCGGGGTAAGGGGGCCATGGCTTTGGACAGCGAGTTGTAATAAATGCGACTACTTTTCCAAATAAATATTACTGCACTATAGTAGCTGGTATAGAGTATCAGAAGCTACCGCAGCATCCAGTGAAGCATTTTCATCACCACGCATACGTGTTCAATAGTTTCAGCGTGGTCCTCTTAAAGAGAGGAACTATGTGCTCGGCCCTCAAGATGGCATCAATGTGCACGACGCGATAGGCATCTGCCCTACGAAGGCAAGCCAATTTTACGAAGGCTGTGTCATCGTCCTCTCCTCTCACGTCCAATAGCTTCACGTACGCCAGTGGCTGTTTCTCTATCTCCCGTCCAGTTCTGGTTTGGACATGGAAAAGCATGAGGAGCTGGGCATAAACAACATCTGACCCCCCTTGAGTACGGTTACTGACCAGTCTTCCGTCCAGAGCTACATAGGAAAACCATGGATTTCCATGGAAAGCCACGGTTGCCCTTGCATAGTGAGCATCGTTCAAATCATTCCCTGGGAGTGCAACTGCAGAATGCACCTGCATGTGACGAGAAAGTTTGGGATGGCGAATGCAAAAGGTTCGTACTTCGGGAAATACAGACTTGAACGCCGGCAATATAAAAGTGGCAGAGTTTGGAATAAGACTGTGCGTAATGGTGGTCGTAGTAGGTTAGGTGTTTTTCTTACATGGACAATGTCATTTCGAATGCCATGTTCAGCGAGGGCTATTGTGATATCGTTCATGACGCTGCCGTGTTGCTCCAACAGCCCTTGCCAGAGCTTCTCCGCTTTTCGACCATCAACAACATGTGGAAGTGTCATGGCTGTGCTTGTCGCCGTGAGAACAGGGTTTTTGTTCCTTTCAGCCTGGAGGTTGAAAAAAAGGGATAGGGGAAGTTGCACATGTATGGCATGATGTCTGTTTGTGAACGTGGCAAGGCATGCCTTGCTGGCCTTACAACCAGCCGTGCATGCAATGATGCATGTGTGTGAAGTGAATGGCAAGGCATGCCTTGCTGGCCTTACAACCAGCCATGCATGCAATGATGCATGTATGTGAAGTGAGTGGCAAGGCATGCCTTGCTGGCCTTACAACCAGCCATGCATGCAATGATGCATGTTTGTGAAATGAATGGCAAGGCATGCCTTGCTGGCCTTACAACCAGCCATGCATGCAATGATGCATGTGTGTGAAATGAATGGCAAGGCATGCCTTGCTGGCCTTACAACCAGCCATGCATGCAATGATGCATGTGTGTGAAATGAATGGCAAGGCATGCCTTGCTGGCCTTACAACCAGCCATGCATGCAATGATGCATGTGTGTGAAGTGAATGGCAAGGCATGCCTTGCTGGCCTTACAACCAGCCATGCATGCAATGATGCATGTGTGTGAAATGAATGGCAAGGCATGCCTTGCTGGCCGTACAACCAGCCATGCATGCAATGATGCATGTTTGTGAAATGAATGGCAAGGCATGCCTTGCTGGCCTTACAACCAGCCATGCATGCAATGATGCATGTGTGTGAAATTAATGGCAAGGCATGCCTTGCTGGCCTTACAACCAGCCATGCATGCAATGATGCATGTGTGTGAAATGAATGGCAAGGCATGCCTTGCTGGCCTTACAACCAGCCATGCATGCAATGATGCATGTGTGTGAAATGAATGGCAAGGCATGCCTTGTTGGCCTTACAACCAGCCATGCATGCAATGATGCATGTGTGTGAAATGAATGGCAAGGCATGCCTTGCTGGCCTTACAACCAGCCATGCATGCAATGATGCATGTGTGTGAAATGAATGGCAAGGCATGCCTTGCTGGCCTTACAACCAGCCGTGCATGCAATGATGCATGTGAATGTAAATGGCAAAGAATGTCTTGCTGGCCTTACCTCCAACCATGCATGGCATCATGCATGAGAGACGACACGGGCAAGGCATGTCATGCTGGCCTTACCACCAACAACGCATGGGATGATGCATGAGACACGACACGGGCATGTTGGTGCAACCCTACGGTTTGCACTCGGCTTGTTGTCCGTGTGCGTGCATGTGTGTGTGTATGGAATGGTATGAGGGCATGGGATAATATATATTTCATGCTTATAATTGTGTGTGAATGTTGAGTCATGATGTCGAGTGTGTGTGTCGAGTCAATAGCGAGTTATCGCTAGACGCGTGTTACGCGGTCGTTTGTGTCTCGCGCGCGGTTTCTATTTTGTCGTGCGCGGTTTCTATTTTGTCCTGTGTCGAACGTTCAGCGTGTCGCAGGTGTGTGCAGCAGACCCATCAAGAACTCAAGGATGAGTTTGTGATGAAGAGCCCGAGCCTTGGTGTCAAGCCTCAAGTGATTTCGAAGCTCGCCAAAAGGGTACACCTCAAGATATTGAAGATAGTTACATTACTTTGTGTAGTGTAACATTTCACTTGGTGTAGGCCCTAGTGAAGGGTAGTTTCGAGACCCTTCGTGGTTGGGGACAGTGTGGCACTGTTCCACATCACTGTACCTCGGCTCCTGGGGTTTGTAGGAGCTGGGAGTCATTCCCAACTCGTAACTCTTCCTAACTCTTCCTATCTTGTGTTCTAAGACTATAGTGGCTGCCATAGTACCGTTCATTCAAACCGACGCTGTGTCGTCAATTCTTTATCAAATCGTGCAATCTAAATTGCTAATTGTAGACGACGTGAAGACGCTCCAGATCCAATTTGAATCAAGTCATTTGCAGCTATGAGCAGAACGCTATCAACGTTTGAAGCCGCTGTGCAGAAATCCGTCTGTGCTCTCTATCTTTCGTTTTAGGCACATTCAAGCCTATTGTGACTATAACAAGTGGTATCAGAGCCCCTTGGAGCAGTTTCGACAATGTCTGGACCTGAGGAAAGGGGTGGCAGAGGTGCTGGTGGCAGTGGAGAAGCTCAAGTTCAAGGCCAACCCCGTGATTCAGCCATGGCGCCCATGCAACCAAGTCTTGGCCCACCTAGGGATGAGCCTAGGGTGTTTGGGCTTGACAAGTTCAACGGTGACAACTTTGCTGAATGGTCCTTCAAGATGGAGAACATCTTTGACCACTATGACCTGCTGGAGGTGATGGAAGGAACGGAGAAGCGCCCCGAGAACGACCCGGAGAAGAGCCCGTGGGTGCGGAAGAGCGCACAAGGCTATCTCTTACTTGGGCAAGCGTTGGGGAGCAGTCAGATCCGTCACATCAAGCCATTCCAGCGTGAACCAGAGAAAGGACCAAAGGCATGGGCTGCTCTCAAGGGTGTACATGCTCCTGCAACAGCGGCGGTAGCGGTGGTGTTGGAACGGCAAATGGCGGCACTACGAATTGAAGAAGACGAAGCGGTTGAAGAAGGGGTGCAGAAATTCTTCGACTTGTTGACGCGGCTTGAGGGAGCTGATTTGAACTACAGTGAGCTCCAAAAGAAGACCAAGTTGCTGGCCTTACTCCCAGAGTCATGGTCCTCGCTCATCATCAACCTTAATCGCGACTTGCCCCGCCTCTCGCTTGAAGACGTGAAGCGAGCTATCCTTCAAGAGGATTTCCGCCGCCGTGAGTTGGCGAGTGCGGATGGCGCTGGGGCAGCGAGCATCGGCCGTGGATATGGTCGAGGAAGAGGCAAAGGACGAGGGGGAGGAAGGTTTGGTGGCAGCAACTTCGGCGGAGGCCGCAGGAGTGGCGGTTACGGCAGCGACGACAAGAGCTACGGACGCGGTCGCGGCCGATTCGACGGCGAGTGTCACTATTGCCACAAGAGCGGACACATGTGGCGCGACTGCTACAAACTCCCTGATGGTTGGACCCCTGCTCAAGGCCAAGAGGGTAGAGGAGCAGGAGGAGGGAGAGGACGAGGCCGTGGAGGCCGTGGCGGTCGCGGTGGCGGAGCTGCAAACATGAAGAGCGGAGACAACGACAAGGACCCAAGTGACGATCGATACCCGGGCCTATTCTACTTCGTGTCGACGCAAGTACCGGCTGGTCCAGAGAAGGATGAAGGCTTTGAGGAGCCAGCAGCTGTGGGGAAGGTGACCCTACACCCCCTGGACTATTGGGTGATTGATAGTGGCGCTACCTATAGCATGACACCTCGCCCGGACTTGCTCACCGAACTCGAGCCGTCACCGGTGAAGCATGTCACATCGGCTTTGGGGCAGCGAGCAGAGGTGAAAGGCATGGGCAAGGCCATGTTCAAGGGTGCTGATGGGAAGATGGTGGGCCTCAAGAACGTGCTTTGGGTGCCCAGCCTTGCTGCAAACCTGATTTCCGTGCGGCGGTTGGCAAAGGCCGGCATGGACACGAACTCGAAGGGAGCCAAGACCTACACCGCAAGGCTTGGCGATCGAATTCTTTGGGACCTTCATGAGGACAGGGATGTCTACAACGAGATGTGGCAGATCCCAGTGGTCCCTATGCCTAAGGAGAGGCAAGTG